CTTCTTTGCTCCAGCAGATGTTGGTCTGCAGGAGGTTCTAGAGGAACATAAGATCAGTCTGAGGAGGAGATGTGAATGTGTGACTGAAGGAAGTGATGAAACAGGAAGTAGAACCCTCCTCAACAGGATCTACACTGATCTCTACATCACAGAGGGATGGAGTGAAGAGGTTAATACCCAACATGAGGTGAAGCAGCTGGAGAGAGCTTCCAAGATCCAGAACCTCCATGACTCTCCAATCAGGTGCCATGACATCTTTAAATCCTTCCCTGACCAACATGGAGCCATCAGAGTGGTTCTGACCAACGGCGTCGCTGGTGTTGGAAAAACCTTCTCGGTGCAGAAGTTCACTCTGGACTGGGCCGAGGGCTTGGAGAACCAGGATGTCAGTGTGGTGGTTCTGCTGTCGTTCAGGGAGCTGAACCTGATCAGAGATCAGCAGCACAGTCTTCTCTCGCTGCTCCATGTTTTCCATCCAACACTCCAGAAGCTCCCAGCAGAGCAGCTGGCTGTCTGCAAACTGCTCTTCATCTTTGATGGCCTGGATGAAAGCAGACTTTCACTGGACTTCAACAGCAGGCAGCTGGTTTCTGACGTCACACAGAAGTCATCAGTCAACGTTCTGCTGACAAACCTCATCAAGGGGAACCTGCTTCCCTCGGCTCTCATCTGGATAACTACCAGACCTGCAGCGGCCAATCAGATCCCTCCTTCATGTGTTTCCAGGGTAACAGAAGTACGAGGCTTCACCGACGCCCAGAAGGAGGAGTACTTCAGGAGGAGGTTCAGTGATGAAGAGCTGTCCAGCAGAATCATCTCCCACATCCAGACCTGCAGGAGCCTCCACATCATGTGTGGAATCCCAGTCTTCTGCTGGATCACTGCTACGGTTCTGGAGAACATGTTGACCTCAGAGCAGAGAGGAGAGCTGCCCAAGACCATGACTGACATGTACTCACACTTCCTGCTGGTCCAGACAAAGAGGAAGAAGAACAAGTACCATGGAGGACATGAGACAAGTTCACAGGAGCTGATGGAGGCAGACAGGGAAGTTCTTCTGAAGCTGGGGAAACTGGCGTTTGAACATCTGGAGAAAGGAAACATCATGTTCTACCAAGAAGACCTGGAGCAGTGTGGTCTGGATGTTACAGAGGCCTCGGTGTACTCAGGAGTTTGTACAGAGATCTTCAAAAGAGAGAGTCTGATCTTCCAGCAACCAGTTTACTGCTTTGTTCACCTGAGCATCCAGGAGTTTCTGGCTGCAGTTTACATGTTCCACTGTTTCACCAGCAGGAATAAAAGGGTGGTGGAGGAGTTCCTGGGAGAAAAATACAGTGGTTTCACCAGCAGGAAAACAGGGGTGATGAAGAAGTTCCTGGGAAGAAATTACTTTAAAACATCTATGGAGGGTTTCATGAACAGAGTTATGTCTAAATCCTTCAGCAGTAAAAATGGCCACCTGGATCTGTTTGTTCGTTTCCTTCATGGTCTCACTCTGGAGTCCAACCAGAGTCTGTTAGGAGGCCTGCTGGGTCAGACAGAGATCAGTCCAGAAACCATCCAGAGAATCATCAACAATCTGAAGGAGATGAACTCTGATGAAATCTCTCCTGACAGAAGCATCAACATCTTCCACTGTCTGATGGAGATGAAAGATCTCTCAGTGTTTCAGGAGATTCAACAGCTCCTGGAATCAGGGAAGAAGCTCTCAGAGATCCAGTGTTCAGCTCTGGCCTTCATGCTACAGATGTCAGAGGAGGTTCTGGATGAGTTGGACCTAGAAAAGTACAACACAACAGAGAA